AGACCCACTGAAGCCAAAAGGCTGGAGATATCACCGAGAACAGATGACCAACAATTGGAGAAAGCAGGCCCTAGTGTACAAACAGGTCAGCCAAGGACCTACCAGCCCTGGATCCAGCCTTAGAGAGACACCAGAGGAGTGGACCAAAGGAGTCATGAGGGGTACAGTGGCACCCAGGGCATACGGAGTGACTACGCAAGGGACAAGTGAGCCAAAGGAACAGGAGGCATTTACAAGCCAGCAGACTCAGCACCCAGAGAGAGTGTACCAAGATCATCACAGAAAGAAGGGACAGAACCATCCAGAGGCCAGCCCCACAGGGAGGGAAGAGACTTCACAGAGACAGGTTGCTCGTCTCTGAGACAGGTGACAGGGAGACAGAGAGGTTGCACCCACTGTGGTCGCTTGTTGTGGAGAACAAACCATCTCAAAGACTGGACCAGCTGAGTCTGTGGTAAAGATGAGAATGCAACTCGGCTATGTGCTAGCAGCATTGGGCCAAAGAGACACAGGGTTGGGGTCTGGGTATCAATTCTTTGTTTTTAATGTTTATATTAAAATGTTTGTGAAATAGGGAAGATGTATCATGATCAGTGAAACCGGAGTCAGAGGGCCAGTGTTCCCTGGAAGGGACTATTATTGGCAGGACAAGGGAACAGGGAAGGTGAGGAGTTGGGCTGGAAGCAACTCAGCCACATGGGCAGAGCAATACATGGGGTTTCATAAAGTTCTACTTAACCTGCATTCAGCTTCACTCTTTGTGAATTAACAGGTGTGGGAGTGGGATTAGGACCTGTCCAGACTATTACAGGGGGTGCAGGGTTAGTTCTTGTCTTGCCCAGCGGAGGTGAGAGATGTGAAGGCCCAGAGGACTGTAGTGTTTTGGCTATGGAGGATGGAACAGTGACTGGGTATCATTTTACTCTTTGCACACAGAGTCAGAGAGACATCAGCGGAGATGGATTCTGGGAGACCATGGAATAACGAGGCAGTTGCTTCAGCCAATATGGACGCGGACTTAAGCTTGGCTTTTCCATGCTGACCGAAGGACTTGCCAATACTGTATTCCAGCTGACTAACACATGCTACCCTGTGTTGCTGTAGATACTAGCTGCATTGCTCCCTGAAGTCCCTAACAAGAGTCTGAAGTCAGTAGAGCCATAGAGAGAAACAGGGTGCTGGAGCCCAAAGGCCTACTCTGAGAATCATGGGGTTGTTTGGTTTAGTCTTGAAAAAACTAAGCCCAGGGCCTGGTGAATAACAGAGATTGTCTAGAGACTGGACCATCACCCCCCACAAGCTATGACAGCAGGACGTGCACCCCTTGATGTGGCTTCCCATTAGGGCTGGCCAGTGGTGAGCTGGAGCCGGTTCGCACTGGTTCGCTAGAACCGGTTGTTAAAAGGGCTTCTAAATTCAACTGGCCAAAAGGGGCACCTTAGGCATCAACTTCGTGGGTGCTCCAGGGCTGGAGCACCCACGGGGAAAATTTGGTGGATGCAGAGCACCCACTGGCAGCTCTCCGCCCCATGCCCGGCCCCAGCTCACCTACGCTCTGCCTCCGCCTCCTTCCCTGAACGCGCTGCCCCGCTCTGCTTCTCTGCCCCCCGAGTTTCCTGTGAATCAGCTGTTCACGTGGGAATCCTGGGAGGGCTGAGAAGCAAGCGGCAGTTTCGTGCTCAGGCCCAGGGAGGCGGAGCGGAGGTAAGCTAGGGTGGGGCGGGGAGGGGCGTGAGGAGGGCCACCCGCGCAGCAGCAGGTAACCCCGGGGGGTGCAGGGGAACTGCTCCCAGCCCCAGCTCGCCTCCGCCTCTGCCTCCCTGGGCCTGAGGGCAAAGGTGCCACTTGCTTTTCAGCCCCTCCCAGGCTTCCCACGTGAACAGCTGATTCGTGGGAAGCCAGGCGGAGAAGCAGAGCAGGGCAGCACGTTCAGGGGAGGAGGCGGAGCGGAGGTGAGGTGAGCTGGGGGTGGGTGCAGGGCGGGGAGCTGCTGGTGGGTGCTCTGTACCCACCAAATTTTCCCCGTGGGTGCTCCGGGGCTGGAGCACCCACGGAGTCGGTGCCTAAGGTGCCACTTTTGATGTGATCGGGGGGGAGTGACCACTCCCCCCCAGCTACACTACCCCACCCCTAGGAGCCAGAGGGACCTACCGGATGCTTCCTGGGAGCTGCCCCAGGTAAGCAATGCCAGGACTCCCCACCTCCCCCCCCGGCAGGTCCCTCTGGCTCTTAGGGTCAGGGTGGGCACCCACTATGGTGGCCCACGAGACCCTCCTGCCCGGTTCTGGGGACAGTCAGGGGAGAGGGGAGGGGGATGGATGGGGCAGGAGTCCCAGGGGGAGGGGCGTCAAGGAACGTGGGGGGTTGGATGGGGCAGGGGTGGGCCACAACCCCCTCGCGGGGTGAGGAGGGAACCGGTTGTTAAGATTTTGGCAGCTCATCACTGGGGCTGGCCAGAAAGCAAGAATATCTGGTCTGTGAAAAGTGTGAAGATGTCCGCCACAATGTGTAATGAAACCAAGGCCTTTAGAAATGTTCATGAAAAATCAGCCTATGAGCCCAGAGTAGACAATAGCCTGGCAGTCAGGGCACTCATGTAATATGTGAGAGATGCAGGTTCAAGCCCTGCTCCAAATCAGGAAGAGCAGGAGTTTGAACATTGGTTCCCCATCTCCCACACGAGTGTTACCTGACTATTCTGTGCTTTGTCAGACAGTTATGCACCAACATGTCCATGGGGGAAGTTGACCCTGTCAGTCAGTGGTTGGGTTTTTTTTGCTCTGAAGCTGGAGGGTTTATATACTTTTATCCTATATAATGTACCTGCAGATATCTTTATTACCTAGATCAGCAGTTCTCAAACTTTAACAACCCGAGGACACCCATTTTGATTTAAAAATTTTCAGGAACCCCCTAAGGCCCCCCGCTCAGCCCCTGTCCCACCCTCTTCCCCGAGGCCATGCCCCCGCTCACTCAATCTCCCCTCCTCCTGTCGCTCGCTCTCCCCCACCCTCACTCACCTTCACTAGGCTGGGGCAGGGGTTTGCGGTGCATGAGGGGGTGAACGGGTTGGGCTCTGGGCTCGGAGTTTGGGTGTGGGAGGTAATGTGGGCTCTGGGAGGGACTTTGGGTGCTGGATGGAACTCAGGGCTGGGGTAGGGGGTTGGGGTGCGGGAGAGGACGGGGGGGGGCGGCGCTTACCTTGGGCAGCTCCCAAAATCGACCAGCAAATACTTCTGACAGTGGCTCCTAGGAGTGGGGGGCCAAAGGGTCTCCACACGCTGCTCCTGCCCACAGGCACTGCCCCCAGAGCTCCCATTGGCTGCAGTTCCCAGCCAATGGAAGCTGCAGAGTCGGCACTTGGGCCGGGAGCAACACGCAGAGACCCCCTGCTCCCCGGGCTGCAGCGACATGCTGGCCACATCTGGGAGCGGTGCGGAGCCAGGATCCCCGCTCCTCCCCCTCCCTCCCAGCACCTCCTTCGTGCTGGGGAACAGCTGTTCCCGAGTGTGAAGGAGGCACTGGGAGGGAGGAAGGGAGGGGGAAGGAGTTGATCAGTGGTGGTGTCCATGGACCCCCCTGGAGTACCCTCGGGGACCCCCAGTTCATCTAGGTCAGTTTGAGAAACACTGACTGGATGAATGTCCCGTCCTTTTCTGAATCTTGCTAAGCTCTTGGCCTCATGATATCTTGTGGCAATGAGTTTCACAGGCTAGTTCTGCATTCCGTAAAAAGTATTTCCTTTTATCATTCTTAAATATTGTGCTTTTCAATTTCATTGAGTTATCCCCTTTCTCTGTGTTAAATAGCAGTTCTCAATTCACCTTCTCCAAGTCGTCTAACATTCCCTCTTATCTGTCTGCTTCCTAATCTAAACATTCCCAGTCTTTTCAATCTTTCTCTCTTTCCCAAACCTTCCATCATTCTTTGCTCACCTCTGAACCGTTCTGTCTGCTACGTAGTTTCTGAGATGGGGTGACCAGAATGCACATACTAACACAGGGATGGGTGTGCCATTCATTTATAGAATGGCATGATATTTCCCATATTATTTTTTATCCAATTCCTTATGCACCCTAATGTTTTATTTCTTTTTTGGCTGCCAAGGCATACTGAGCTGAGCTCTTCATGGAATGAGGTCTTTTTCTGGTGGGTTACAGTTAATTTAGAACCCTACAATATGTCGGAGCAATTCAAATTGTTCTTTCTACTGTTATTACTGTATACTTATCCACAGTATTTTCATCTGCTGCCATGCTATCCATTCCCCTACCTTGGTTAGGTCCCTCTGAATTTTCTCACAGTTTTTCTAGCCAAACTATGCTGCAGTCCTAAGTATACTGTGGGGATGAGCATGGTAATGCTGCCACCTTGCTGCTCCCTCTCGCTGATACCAAGTCCAGGTTCTTTATTATGAATTGAAAGACAGTCAAGGCTTGGCAACAGCCTGCAGCCCTGTGTGAGGCCCTCAACATCCTGCCTCCAGGTGGATAGAGAGAAGTGCTAGGACCTGTCCCCTGGCACTCCACTATTTAGTACTTTAGTACTCCAAGGGTACCTCTATCCTAGAAACATTAGTATGGCACAGCTGCAGTGCTGTAGTGTAGATGCTTACTACAGCGATGGAAGGAGTGAGCTGTAGCTCACGAAAGCTCATGCTCAAATAAATTGGTTAGTCTCTAAGGTGCCACAAGTACTCCTTTTCTTTCCATCATTGTAATAATCCACCTCTCCAAGAGGTGGTAGCTAGATCTATGGAAGAATTCTTCTGTCAACCTAGCGCTGTTTACACTAGGACTTACATGGTTTAATTACCTGAGTGGTGTAGCTAGGTCAACTTAACTTTCCAGTGTACATCAGCCCTGAGTCCTTATATTTTATGGCATTCAGGTCTCTGAGGTGTTGCTTCCTCCCCTTTTCGGCTGGGAAGCTATCTACCACAGCCGTGTCCATCTTGGAATGCTCCTTCAGTTGGGCCTTCTTGTTTGTTTTCTGGCTAGGTGATCGCGGTCGTCATGGATCTCTTCACAGACATGGAGATACTCTGTGACCTGATGGAAGCTTCAAGCAGGCGACGTGTCCCTGTTTACCTGATCCTTGATGAGAAGTACTTAAAGTATTTTATAGAGATGTGCAGTAAAATGGCTCTTAACAAGGACCATTTCCCAGTAAGTTTGCAGCATTCCTTTAGGTGGTGTACAAAGTTAATGCAATTGGTATGTATGACAGAATATACCCCTGTGTTCACACACCCTATTGTAATAATGTTTGTACAAGGTATGCCTTGTGAGGTGTCATTTAAAAACTCATAATATGTTGATCAATAATATCAAGGCAAAATGCACATAGCAGCATTATATGTGGAGTTATAATCATAAACTGACTAAAAATATGTTTTCCAGATAAGTCTGGGGAGTGGCTAACCCAGTTCCTCAGAGACAGAGGGCAAGCTGATACCTCAGGCAGGCGTAAACAAGACTGATGGACCATTATCTGCTAAGAGCTTGTCTTCACATACAGTGCCGCAGCAACACCACTTTAGTAAAGATACTGCTATGCCAAAAAGGTTCGGAGAAGGGCAACTAAAATGAGTAGGGGTTTGGAGCGGGTCCCATATGAGGAGAGATTAAAGAGGCCAGGACTTTTCAGCTTGGAAAAGAGGAGGCGAAGGAGGGATATGAGAGAGGTCTATAAAATCATGAGTGGTGTGGAGAAAGTGAATAAGGAAAAGTTATTTACTTGTTCCCATAATATAAGAACCAGGGGCCATCAAATGAAATTAATGGGCAGCAGGTTTAAAACAAATAAAAGGAAGTTCTTCTTCACTCAGTGCACAGGCAACCTGTGGAACTCCTTGCCTGAGGAGGTTGTGAAGGCTAGGACTGTAACCGGGTTTAAAAGAGAACTGGATAAATTCATGGAGTTTAAGTCCATTAATGGCTATTAGCCAGGATGGGCAAGGAAGGGTGTCCCTAGCCTCTGTTTGTTAGAGGCTGGTGATGGATGGCAGGAGAGAGATCACTTGATCATTGCCTGTTAGGTTCACTCCCTCTGGGGCACCTGGCATTGGCCACTGTCAGTAGACAGGATACTGGGCTAGATGGACCTTTGGTCTGACCCAGTATGGCCATTCTTATGTTCTTATGACTGGAGAGCTTCTCCCGTCGGTGTAGTTAATCCACCTCCACGAGAGGCAGGAGCTATGTCAACGGGAGAAGCCCTCCCCCACAGTGCAGTCTACACGAGGGGTGAGGTTGAGGGGGGGTGGATTTTTCACACCACGGAGCGACGTAGTTCTATATATCTGTGGTGTAGACCTGGCCTCAGTGGCCATTTTTTTGGCAGGGGCAAAAATCTACATCTTAGCAAAGAAACAGCATGGAGTTTCTTTCCACACAGACTGCCTGTTGCCTTGCTCCCAGATGGAAATGCTTCTCAAAGCAGGGACAGGACTATAAAAAGAAATGGCAGAGATCCCAAGGCACCATGCCTATCTCTCCCTGCACATCATGTTAACGGCACCTGAGGAGACAAAGAAAGCAGCCCTTTATCTCTGGGGGAGGGGCCTTCACCTAAAAAGTTTGGTTGGTAGGACTGCTTGAAAACATGTGGTGAGAAAACTTTGCTTTGAATCTAATATAGTTTGTTAAATTAGGCACTAGTTTTATCTTTATTTTCTTAGAACAATTTCTGACTTATGCCTCATTACCTGTATTCACTTAAAATCAATCTCTTTGTAGTTAATAAATTTGTTTTATTGTTTTATCTAATCCAGTATGTTTCATCTGAAGTGTCTGGACAACTATTTAAAATAACAAACTGGCATATTATTCCCCTAGGAATAACTGACTTAATCATAGAACCACAGGGCTAGAAGGGACCGCAGGGGTCAACTAGTCTAACCCCTGCCAAGATGCAGGATTTGTTGAATCTAAACCATCCAAGACAGATGCTCTCCAGCCTCCTTTGGAAAACCTCCTGCAAAGGAGATTCCAGGACCGCCCAAGGCGTCTCTTCCATTGTCCTCCTGTTCTTACAGTTAGGAGGTTTTTACCTGAGATTTAATCTAAATCTGCTCTGCTGTGGTTTGAGCCCGTTGCCTCTTGGCCTGCCCTCTGTGGCAAGAGAGAACAACTTTTCTCCATCCGTTTTATGGCAGCCTTTCAAGTATCTGAAGACCACTAGCATGTCCCCCCTTAATCTCCTCGTTTCCAAATTAAACATGCCCAGTTCCTTCAGCCTTTGCTCATATGGCTGTATTCCATCCCTTTGATCATCTCTGTCGCTTGCTTCTGGATTCTTTCCAGTTTCTCTTCATCCTTTTTATATATTAGTGACCAAAACTGGACACGATGCTCCAGCTGAGGCCTACTCAGCACTGAGTAAAGCGGTACTATCACCTCCCGTGATTTGCATGCTATGCCTCTTATTAATGGAGCCCAAAATTGCATTTGCGGACTCACGCTGAGGTTGTGAGCCACCACAACTCCCCAATCCTTCTCAGCAGTGCTGCTGCCAAGCCTGTTTCCCCCCATTCTGTATTTGTGCATTCGGTTTTTCTTCCGTAAGTGTAGCACCTTCCATTTATCTTTTTTGAATTTCATTTTGTTGTCTATAGCCTAGTTCTCCAATTTATCAAGAACCGTCTGAATTTTAGATGTTAAATAACACTGGACCCTGAACAGATCCCTCTAGAACCCCGCTTGAGGCCTTCCTCCAATCTGACATAATTCCATTAATAGTTACTTTGTTTGAGGTTATTTAAACCAATTATGTATCCATGATGTATATATCCATGCATTATGTATGTAGTTCCGCTGAGCCTGCATTTCTCCAGCTTACTTATGAGACTGTCATGTGGGACTGTGTCAAAAGCCTTGCTGAAGTCCACGTATATTATGACCACCACATTCCCCCTGTCCACCAGGCCAGTTACCCTGTCAAAAAGGGAAATTAAGCTGAAATCATGGTTTGTTCTTAGTAAAACTGGCTTTGGGTTTTAGATAGCTGGAAAGCTCCTTGTGCAGCCACATTGGCGTCCTGCAGATCTTCTTATCTTTCCTCTGCGTTGGAACTGCATGATGTTCAGCCGCCAGTATTACATCTTTTAAGAACTACCAGCCTCCTTCGACTCCTTTTCTTCCCAACTGATCTTTCCATAGGGCCTTGCCTACCATTTCTTAGTTGGTTGAAATCTGCCTTTCTGAAGTCCAGTGTCCTTGTTTTGCTGTTCTCATGCCTTCCTTTCCACAGGATCTTGAATTCTATCACATGATGATCAGTTCCTTCCAAGTTCCCGACCACCTTCACGTTCACAACTAATTCATCCCTGTTGGTCAAAACCAGATCCAAAATGAATGACCCCCTAGTTGTTTCCCCAACTTTATGATTCAGAAAGTTATCCTCTTAAACCTGCTAAGAATGTGCAGGACATATTATGTTTTGCTGTAATAATCTTCCAACAGATATCAGGGAAGTTAAAATCCTCCATTACTACTAGCTCACAATATATTTGTACTGTCCAGGAGAGGGCTGGGTCGTACAGGACATACATTTCTGGGGGAAGACCTGGGTGTGTGCTGGGGTCACTCTATAGCATAACCAAGGCTGGTAAGAGGGTAACAAGACTTGTGGATGGGGGGGAAGCGGTAGATGTGGTATATCTTGACTTTAGTAACGCTTTTGCTACTGTCTAACATGACCGTCTCATAAACAAACTAGGGAAATGCAACCTAGATTAAGCTACTATAAGGTGGGTACATAACTGGTTGGAAAACCGTTCCTAGAGAGTAGTTGTCAGTGGTTCACAGTCATGCTTCTGTTCAATATCTTCATCAGTGTTTTAGATAATGGCATAGAGAGTACACTTATAAAGTTTGCAGATGATACCAAGCTGGGAGGGGTTGCAAATGCTTTGGAGAATAGGATTAAAATTCAAAATGACCTGGAGAAATGGTCTGAAGTAAATAGGATGAAATTCAATAAGGACAAATGCAAAGTACTCCACATAGGAAGGAACAATCAATTGCACGCATACAGAATGGGAAACGACTGCCTAGGAAGGAGTCCTGCAGAAAGGGATCTGGGGGTCATAGTGGATCACAAGCTAAATATGAGTCTCCAGTGTAACACTGGAGCAAAACAAGAGAACATCATTCTGGGATGTATTAGCAGGAGTCTTATAAGCAAGACCCAACAAGTAATTCTTCTGCTCCACTCCTCACTGATAAGGCCTCAACTGGAGTATTGTGTCCAGTTCTGGGTGCCACATTTCAGGAAAGATGTGACAAATTGGAGAAAGTCCAGAGAAGAGCAACAAAAATTATTAAAATTCTAGAAAACATGACCTATGAGGGAAGATTGAAAAACTTGGGTTTGTTTAGTCTGGAGAAGAGAAACCTGAGAGGTGACATAAGTTTTCAGGTACATAAAAGTTTGTTTACAAGGAGGAGGGTGAAAAATTGTTGTGCTTAACCTCTGAGGATAGGACAAGAAGCAATTGGCTTAAATTGCAGCAAGGGTGGTTTAGGTTGGACATTTGGAAAAACTTCCTGTCAGGGTGGTTAAGCACTGGAATAAATTGCCCAGGGAGGTTGTGGAATCTCTGTCATTGAAGGTTTTTAAGAGCAGGTTAGACAAACACCTGTCAGGGATGGTCCAGTTATTACTTAGTCCTGCCTTGAATGCAGGGGACTGAATTATTTGACTATTTGACCTCCAGTCCTACACGTCTTTGATTTTATGAAGGATCACCAAAATACCCTGTGCAAGCTAGAAATGTGGTTAGGCTCAGGACAGTTTCACCCTGGTGAGGCAGCTAATAACCCTAATAATGTTGTCTGACAAGATTACAAGTCATGCTGATAAAGGTAACTGTGAAATAATACAGTTAGAATTATGTAAGGCTGTCAAGGTTCCTCCCCCACTCTGAACTCTAGGGTACAGATGTGGGGACCTGCATGAAAACCTCCTAAGCTTACTTTTACCAGCTTAGGTTAAAACTTCCCCAAGGTACAAATTAATTTTATCCTTTGTCCTTGAAATATCCACTGCCACCACCAAACTCTAACTGGGTTTACTGGGAAACATAGTTTGGACACGTCTTTCCCCCCAAAATCCTCCCAACCCTTGCACCCCACTTCCTGGGAAAGGTTTGGTAAAAATCCTCACCAATTTGCATAGGTGACCACAGACCCAAACTCCCAGCTTTGTATCCCTTGGATCTGAGAACAATGAAAAAGCATTCCGTTTTCTTACAAGAAGACTTTTAATAGAAATAGAAGTAAATAGAAGTAAAGAAATCACCTCTGTAAAATCAGGATGGTAGATACCTTACAGGGTAATTAGATTCAAAACATAGAGAATCCCTCTAGGCAAAACCTTAAGTTACAAAAAAGACACACAGACAGAAATAGTCATTCTATTCAGCACAATTCTTTTCTCAGCCATTTAAAGAAATCATAATCTAACGCATACCTAGCTAGATTACTTACTAAAAGTTCTAAGACTCCACTCCTGTTCTATCCCCGGCAAAAGCAGCATACCGACAGACCTTTTGTTTCTCTCCCTCCTCCCAGCTTTTGAAAGTATCTTGTCTCCTCATTGGTCATTTTGGTCAGGTGCCAGCGAGGTTACCTTTAGCTTCTTAACCCTTTACAGGTGAGAGGATTTTTCCTCTGGCCAGGAGGGATTTTAAAGGGGTTTACCCTTCCCTTTATATTTATGACAAAGGCGTTTGTACTGCATGACTAACAAAACCCTAACACTACCCGGAATCTGTATGGTATATATTAAATGGATTAAAAAGCTGACTAACGGAGAGATCTCAAAATGTAGCTGTGAATGAGGAATCATCAACTAATGGTGTCTTTCTGGTGGGTTCTGCAGGGGTGGGTTCTTAGGCCAGTGCTATTCGATAATTGTATAAATGATGTGGTAGAAACTATATCGATTTATAACTTCTATAAATGATCTAGAAGGACAAATTCTTCATGCCAAGATCTTGTATAACCTGTGGTGTAAGGTGCTAACAACACCACATTGATTTTTGGTATTTTTATTTCATTAAATGATCCTCAAGCAGCAGGCAGTTTGATAGAAAACTCTGTTACTGTAGGGAACGCAGTAGCCAGAAAACACTCGATGCCTTGCTGCTTCCCTCCTTTCAGGACCGGGGGTCACTGTCAGATAGCTTGTCACTCAGGTTATCATACATAAAGAAATCTGTTAAGAAAGAAAAGATTTAGCTTTCTCTATTCAATCTGGCTCAATCCATATTTCATCCTCTGATTTCAGAACATGCGAGTGCGGTGTGTGAGTGGAGACACATATTACAGTAAAGCAGGCAAGAAATTTGCAGGTCAAGTTCTGGAGAAGTTTGTACTGATAGATTGTGACCACGTTCTTGCTGGTACATACAGGTGAGACATCACAGTTTGCGCCTCTAAAACCCAGAGACATTGGGCCAAACATTCATTGTCACAGAGAAACCAACTTCATAATCTCACCCACATCCCTCACACCCTCTTCCTGCCTGATTTCGACACATGGCTCTCTCTCTTCATCATATTGTCAATTACTTCAATTTTCATGCTGATCGCTCACCCAACCTCTAGCCTCTGCACTTACCTTACTGTTTGACCTGCAGACTGCATTAACTCTCCCACTGCACACACACTCCACCAGTGCCACTCCCTGGACTTGGTTGTCTTCACATGGCAGTGATCTTTTCCACTTTTGATCACCACTTTATTTCCTTGAATACTGCCCACTCCCACCCTGCTCTCTACCTCCCAGCTGGCCCTTCCATAACCTTCAATCGAGCAATATCTAATTTTGTTGCTGCTCGTAACTGCACCCTTGCCCATGGCTCCCTGCTTCCTCATCTCTGACTGGACTTGACACCCTCTGTTCCACACTCTCCTCCAAGCCACTCTTTTGCTCTTCCTCCCCACTGACCCTCTGCCTTGGTTTACATCCAGCATTTGCTTCCCCCACTCTTATTCCTGAACAGCTGAGCAGCCCCGAAGAGTCTCCATGGGCCACCGGGGCTTCCTTCACCACAAACTCATCTTCTCCTCCTTAAGGGATAGCTCCATGGTATGAGCATTGGCCTGCTAAACCCAGGGTTGTGAGCTCAATCCTTGAGAGGGCCATTTAGGGATCTGGGGCAAAAATTGGGGATTGGTCCTGCTTTGAGCAGGGGGTTGGACTAGATGACCTCCTGAGGTCCCTTCCAACCCTGATATTCTATGATTCTGCTGACTTCCTCACAAAGCAGCCCTACTTCCCCCTTATTGAGTCCCAGGCTACACCCCCATTGCCTCATAACCACTATCAACTCCCTCCTGAAGCCCTCTCCACTTGCTGAACCCTCGTGCTTCTGCCCAGGATCTTGCTGACTTGGCTGAATTTCAGACTTTCTGCTGCTTCTGCGACTATCGTTCCCTCCTCCTTGGAATGCTGTCCTCCCGCCTCCAAGAATGCTCCTTCCGTGTCTCCTGCTGCTGCCCCTTTTCCTGCTCTGTCCAGATCCTTCAGACTCTGTCCTTGGCCCTTTCTGCCCTTTAGCAGTTTAGCCTACATGGCTGCACTTGCTCATGTTAACTTAACTGTCTTCTCCAAGCTGACAGGTCACAGACCTGCTTCCCTGTGTGCAGCCCTGCGCCCCAGGCTCGCTCTCCTGAATGGTTACCAACAGCTCCAGCTTAATACGGCTTAAAGCCAACTCTTCCTCTCCTAACACCTCTCCTTCCAGACTAGTGTCATTGCTGACACCCCAGTCCAGAGTTCATGTCTGACTCCTCCCCCTCACAGCTAAGGCAAATCTTCCGAGTTTCTTTACAACATACCAAAATATGAGACCCTTTTTTTCTGTGCCAATGGCTAACTGCTTGTCCCCAACCTGGACACATCCCACCTGGATTCATAGATTCATAGATATTTAGGTCAGAAGGGACCACTATGATCATCTAGTCTGACCTCCTGCACAATGCAGGCCACAGAATTTCACCCACCTACCCCTGCGAAAAACCTCTCACCTATGTCTGAGCTATTGAAGTCCTCAAATTGTGGTTTAAAGACTTCAAGGAGCAGAGAATCCTCCAGCAAGTGACCCGTGCCCCATGCTACAGAGGAAGGCGAAAAACCTCCAGGGCCTCTTCCAATCTGCCCTGGAGGAAAATTCCTTCTCGACCCCAAATATGGCGATCAGCTAAACCCTGACCATATGGGCAAGATTCATCAGCCAGATACTACAGAAAATTCTTTCCTGGGTAACTCAGATCCCACCCCATCTAATATCCCATCACAGGCCATTGGGCCTATTTACCATGAATATTTAATTACCAAAACCATGTTATCCCATTATACCATCTCCTCCATAAACTTATCTGGTTTAATCTTAAAGCCAGATAGATCTTTTGCCCCCACTGCTTCCCTTGGAAGGCTAGTCCAAAACTTCACTTCTCTGATGGTTAGAAACCTTCGTCTAATTTCTAGTCTAAATTTCCTGGTGGCCAGTTTATATCCATTTGTTCTTGTGTCCACATTGGTACTGAGCTTAAATAATTCCTCTCCCTCTCCGGTATTTATCCCTCTGATATATTTATAGAGAGCAATCATATCTCCCCTCAACCTTCTTTTCGTTAGGCTAAACAAGCCAAGCTCCTTGAGTCTCCTTTCATAAGACAAGTTTTCCATTCCTCCGATCATCCTAGTAGCCCTTCTCTGTACCTGTTCCATTTTGAATTCATCCTTCTTAAACATGGGAGACCAGAACTGCACACAGTATTCCAGGTGAGGTCTCACCAGTGCCTTGTATAACGGTACTAAGACCTCCTTATCCCTACTGCAAATACCTCTCCTGAGGCATCCCAAGACCTCATTAGCTTTTTTCACGGCCATATCACATTCGCAGTTCATAGTCAACCTATGATCAACCAATACTCCAAGGTCCTTTTCCTCCTCCGTAACTTCTAATTGATGCGTCCCTAGCTTATAACTAAAATTCTTGTTATTAATCCCTAAATACATGACCTTACACTTCTCACTATTAAATTTCATCCTATTACTATTATTTCAGTTTATAAGGTCATTCAGATCCTCCTGTAGGATATCCCTGTCCTCCTCTAAATTGGCAATACCTCCCAGCTTTGTATCATCCGCAAACTTTGTTAGCACACTCCCACTTTTTGTGCCAAGGTCAGTAATAAAAAGATTAAATAAGATTGGTCCCAAAACTGATCCTTGAGGAACTCCACTAGTAACCTCCCTCCAGCCTGACAGTTCACCTTTCAGTAGGACCCGTTGTAGTCTCCCCTTTAACCAGTTCCTTATCCGCCTTTCAATTTTCCTATTGATCCCCACCTTTTCCAATTTAACTAATAATTCCCCATGTGGCACCGTATCAAATGCCTTACTAAAATCTAGGTAAATTAGATCCACTGTGTTTCCTTTGTCTAAAAAATCTGTTCCTTTCTCAAAGGAGATCAGGTTGGTTTGGCACGATCTACCTTTTGTAAAACCATGTTGTATTTTGTCCCATTTACCATTGACTTCAATGTCCTTAACTACTTTCTCCTTCAAAATTTTTTCCAAGACCTTGCATACTACAGATGTCAAACTAACAGGCCTATAACTACCCAGATAACTTTTTTTCCCTTTCTTAAAAATAGGAACTATGTTAGCTATTCTCCAATCATACGGTACAACCCCTGAGTTTACAGATTCATTAAAAATTCTTGCTAATGGGCTTGCAATTTCATGTGTCAATTCCTTTAATATTCTTGGATGAAGATTATCTGGGTCCCCCGATTTAGTCCCATTAAGCTGTTTGAGTTTTGCTTCTACCTCAAATATGGTAATGTCTACCTCCATATCCTCATTCCCATTTGTCATGCTACCATTATCCCTAAGATCCTCTTTAGTCTTATTAAAGACTGAGGCAAAGTATTTGTTAAGATATTGGGCCATGCCTAGATTATCCTTGACCTCCACTCCATCCTCAGTGTTTAGCGGTCCCACTTCTTCTTTCTTTGTTTTCTTCTTATTTATATGACTATAGAACCTTTTACTATTGGTTTTAATTCCCTTTGCAAGGTCCAACTCTACTTGACTTTTAGCCTGTCTCACTTTATCCCTACACGTTCTGACCTCAATAAGGTAGCTTTCCTTGCTGATCCCTCCCTTCTTCCACTCCCTGTATGCTTTCTGCTTTTTCTTAATCACCTCTCTGAGATGCTTGCTCATCCAGCTTGGTCTACAACTCCTGCCTATGATTTTTTTCCCCTTTCTTGGGATGCAGGCTTCCAATAGCTTCTGCAGCTTTGATTTAAAATAATCCCAGGCCTCCTCTACCTTTAGATCTATAAATTCTTCAGTCCAATCCACTTCCCTAACTAATATCCTTAATTTTTGAAAGTCAGCCCTTTTGAAATCAAAAACCCTAGTTGCAGATTTATTTTTGTTAATCCTTCCGTTCAGTTTGAACTGAATTAGCTCATGATCACTTGAGCCAAGACTATCCCCTACAACCATTTCTTCTATGAGGTCCTCACTACTCACCAAAACCAAATCTAAAATGGCATCCCCTCTAGTCGGTTCAGCAACTACTTGCTGAAGGAATCCATCAGCTATCGCATCTAGGAAAATCTGAGCCCTATTATTATTACTAGCACTCGTCCTCCAGTCTATATCTGGGAAGTTAAAGTCTCCCATGATCACACAGTTTCCATTAGTATTTACTTTATTAAAAACATTAAAAAGGGCTCTATCCATATCCAAATTAGATCCCGGCGGTCTATAGCACACCCCAAGCACTATCCCAGGGGAGGCTCTAATAGTTTTCTTCCCCAATTTAATTTTTGCCCAGACGGACTCAGTCATATCCATTCCATCGCTTCTTATTCTTTACATTCTATCTCATCATTGATATACAGTGCTACTCCACCACCTTTACCTTTATTTCAATCTTTCCTAAACAGCACATACCCTTCAATACCTGTAGTCCAGTCATGACTGCTATTCCACCATGTTTGTTATCCCTATAATATCTGGTTTCACTTCCTGCACCAGTAGCTCCAGTTCCTCCATTTTGTTACCTAGGCTCCTCGCATTAGTGTACAAACATCTTTATTTTTGCTGTTTGGCCTCACTCACATTCTGTACCCTATTAGGCACGGTCATTCTGCAGCCAGTATAACCTATTAGACTGGTATCTACACTGCCCTTCCTCCTACCCACGGCTGTATCCTTTCTTACTTCATTTTCTTTCCTCTCAATGCTAAAATCCGGCATGGAGATTACCTGGACATCTCCCAACCCTCTCCCCCAAATTCCTAGTTTAAAGCTCTCTTCATCAGTTGTGCCAGCCTCCATCTTAGAAGTCTATTTCCTTCCCTACTCAGATGAAGTCCATCCTGAGAGAACTGTCCTCTGTCCATGAATACCTCCCAGTGGCCATACATCCCAAAGCCCTCCTTATAGCACCACTGCCTAAGCCATCTGTTGATAGTCATAATAAAAAGTTTTTTTCCTCCTGCTGATAATAGCCCACCTTAATTGATTAGTCTCATTACAGTTGGTATGGCAACACCCATTTTTTCATGTTCTCTGTGTGTATATATATTTTCCTACTGTATTTTCCACTGCATGCATCTGATGAAGTGGGTTTTAGCCCATGAAAGCTTATGCTCAAATAAATTGGTTAGTCTCTAAGGTGCCACAAGTACTCCTTTTCTTTTTGCAAAGACAGACTAACACAGCTGTTACTCTGAAACCAGTCATAATCTTGTCACACCTTTGTTGCCCTTCTCTAGGAACAGGCAGAATCCCACTAAAGATCACCTGAGCCTCGATTTCCTTAAGCGTCTTCCCCAGCCTAGCATAGTCTCCCTTAATACTTTCCAGTGAGAATCTAGCCGTATCATTTGTTCCCACATGAAGGATAATTAGGGGATTCTTTCCTGCTCCCTTTAGAATTCTTTTCAACCTCAGGTCTACATCCCGTATCTTAGCACCTGGAAGACAGCACACCCTCCTATTCTCTGGATCAGCTCTGGTTACAGGCCTGTCTATACTTCTCATTAAAGAGTCCCCAATCACATAGACCTGCCTTTTCCTAGTGACGGTGCTATTATCCAGTCTATCCCCTGTTCCTTCTGGCTGCAAGTTCTTTCCATTCCTATTCTCCCTTGTAATCCTCTTTAACCCATCCTGTATCCTCCTGGAGCTCATATTTGGTGTAATCTCCATTGACTCTTCCCCTTTTCCTAGAGGACTAGCTGCTCTTCTCTTCTTCCTTGCCCTTCCACCTTCAGTGACTACCTGCTGAGCCCCTTCTTCATTTTCCAACTCTGCAAACCTGTTCTTGAGCTTTATTTCTCCTTCACTAGCCCGTCTTTTCCTCTGCTTGGTTCTTTTAGTCACATGCTTCCACTGACCACTTTCCTCACCCAGTCTCCCCTCAGAATTCCCCAGCCCTGATTCCACCTGCAAGTCTCAGCTTTTCCCTTCAGATGCCTCATATCTTTGCTCCATAATCTGCTCGAACCCCTTCCTAAACTCTACCAGACTTTCCATCTGCATCTCCAAACCTCGGATCTTTTCCTCCATCAGCTCTATCAGACGGCATTTCATGCAGACAAAACTCTTACCAGGTGCCCCCTCCAGGATCATGGACATACCGCAGCTTCCACATCCAGTCATCCTCATTGCATCTTCCACTACATGGGTCACTCCCACTGCTGCCTCTGTATCTGTCATAGCCTTCCCACCTAAACCCTGTTAATCTGGGAAGCACAAACCACACCCAAACACCAGCACCCACAGCAAAAACAAACCCCAAACAAGCACCACAAGACAAACTCCCCTGTTCACAGCTCTGTTTGCTGGCTCCTGTGCCGCTGCCTGACTGGCTGGCTACCTTTATAGGACCCCTAGTCAGAGAAGCGCCCCGCCCCTCCTCCCCCAAATCAGGGCTCAGCTTCTCTCCCAGCACAAAGCCCCTACAAGCCTCTACACCTACAAATACAAAACCAAATACAAATACTTTCTCCTCCAACAGAATTCCCACTCAGACTTCCCTCTTTACAGCTCTGTTTGCTGGCTCCTGGGCCACTGCAGCTGTCTGTGCCCTGTCCTCACTCCCCTGCCAGTCTGATCATGTCACCTCAAGCTGTCTACTGGCAACAAGTTTACATTTCTAGTTCCCTCCTCCAAGGCCTTGCCCTGGCCTACATCTTAGATCTCCCCTCTTGCTATGCTCCCCACTCTGCCAACAAACCCAGCCACGTCCTCCTCCCATGGTCAGACTGGGAGCTCTCCAAGAAGGCACGCTATTTCCCTAGTGCCCATAATGACACAATGGACATAATCAAACTGACCTTATTGTTTTGAATTATTCTTTCCTCTGGATTTCCAGCAGGTTCTGTGTTCTCTGGCCATAGTTTAGAATGAACCCAGTAAGGGTAGAAGGGAAACAACCGAATATCCAGTCAGTTAGGCTTGAAAGGCGAAGGCAGGAAGCCTAAATCTCATCTTGCCAAGCAATGCAAACCAGGAGCAACTCGACCAGTCACTGGGTTGGCACCAGAACAAAACCGGTGTGTGCCCAGCATTACATCAAGGGGCCACACGAGAGCTCAATGCATTAATCTTGCCCAGAAGGTTGTGAGGATTAACAAGCGCTTTCACTGGCATATCCAGGGAGGCCGCACATTACAGAGGCTGAGATGACAAGCATCTACACTATGGCAGTGAGGGCGAGAAGCTGGACCAATCAGAGACATCCAGTGACAATAACCACAGGTCAAAGAACACCTGGGAAACGGCAGCAGCTTCTAGCCAGCTGGTGCCACAAAGAGGCAATGTGGACAAACCAGCCCGTGCGCTGCAGCATTGGCAGGTGCCAGGGACAGCTAGGCTCAGTCCTTTCCCCTCCCTCCGCATTGCCACCACTGTCCTGCAGGGAAAGTCCTGTCCAGCTCCTGGACACCTCCACAGGCTCCCTGCAGAGCTCAGTGTGTCTCCCCTGCTTCTCAGAGCAATGGCCAAGGGACTCCTCCTTCCCCCCAGCTCCCTGCGTTCATCAGTGCTACCCCACCAAGCTTCCTGCACGACTGCCCCATGCGCCCACCTGTGCCCCTCTGTCCTGCCCACCTGTGCCCCCACCCTCCACTGCCCACACTCCCCCTGCCCTTCCCACCTGTGCCCCAACCCTCTGCTGCCCATGTTCCTCCTGCCCCCCCCCCCACGGCGCCTCCCCCACCCCTTGCCTCCTGCATTGCTGAAGCGCTGAGCAGGGAGCTGCTGGCACAGATAAATGTAGTGTTTGTGAAGCACTCCTGCTTGGTGCTGCATGCTCTGCCCCCCACAGCACCCTTCTCCCAGCACCACATACCGTTACACCCGCTAATGCTCTTCCACCCCTGGCAGTGTAACGCACCCTGCACCTTCATGCACTTAATATTACCTGTTGTATAATGTAGATGAAATGTGTGGACCCAAAGAGTCACAGGTGCTAATGTGACCTGGTCACTGTCCAAAATTAAACAGTTTAACCCAGGTTCGGGGGTTGGTATCCTGAGACTTCAGCGGGCTCAGTACCTGGCAAACACACCATTAAAAATCCATTTTTACCTTGTACTAAAGATACAGAAAATACAGTGAGCCGATCCCTGAGGCTCTGGTAGCCTCTGCCTTGCCTCCCCCTGTGTCCGGTATCCCCCAGAACACCTACCCCCCAGAGCCTGGGATCCCCCCACTCCAGGGGGATCCCCTCTCTACAGCCTGGGATCCCACTGCCCCAGAGAATACATCCTCTACAGACCGGGATCTCCTGGACACATCCAGTCCCCAATCCAGGATCCCTTCCAGCCCCTTGGGGACACACCCAGAGCCCCCCACTCGCCTGGCCCTCCTCCCTGTTGCAGTTTAAACTGCCTACAAGAAGCCAAGTATGTCTGCACCCCTCCCCTCCCCATGTACAGCCAGAGCCCAGGGCGTGACATCCTTTTCCCTCTGGTGAAACAGACACCTTCCCCTGAGACCATGGGGGTCAGGCACCAATCTATTACAATGCACACGTCATATAAATGATGTAATATCTACGGTAAATCATTCAAAGGTTAGAAATACCCACTAATTATCTCTTTCCAGTTTTACTTGGCTGTGCAGTCAAGTTCACGCCTGCTTGGTGACACACTTCCGAGGCAAAATCGTTGAGGACTTTGACAGAGAATTCCGAAGCTTGTACACAGAATCCAAACCTGTGCCTGCTTTCTGCATCCCCGAGGCTGGAACAAACCCTGCTTCAGCTCACAGCTCAGCATGGACCTTCCAGTCTCTCTTAAAATCTGCCAAACCGAACGAAGCTGGAACCGCAAGCCAGGCCAGTAGTCTCTCAAATTCAAGCATTGAGAGCATAAAGATGTCTCCTTTTCGGAAGAACTCCACCTACAATGTACTCCATGAAAAGCAAGACTTGGGTCCTGGTTTCATCAGTGAAAAGAGAAAGGAAGCCATCAGCTCCATGAAGCCAAGTGACTCCAAGCAGCACTGGGAAATGTCAAACTCTAACCAAAACACTTCAGCTAAATTCAAGTCTGCCTTATATGACCAGCCTAATCATAAGTCACACCAGGCATCCTTGCAGCCAATGTCTTTCCCCATACTAAGCTGCAGTGAACCTAATCATCTAGAAAATAAGGCATTGGCTAAAACTAAAAATGGCCAGTTGCTCCATCACTCTGCCATGAGACAGGGACCAAACTTACGATCCCCCTCTGAGAACACTAGTACAAATGGGGCAAATACCAAGCAGAAAGCACCCAGTGATGTTTCAAGTGGAAAATCAATAGAAAGCAGCAGCAAAATATGCAAGAATGAGAAAACGCTGACTCTTGGGCATAGTAAACTGGACCTGATTATCCAATACAACCAGTTAAAAAGTGAGTGGACAGCTGCAGTCCCAAGCTCTGCTAGACTCAGTGATGAAGTGCCAAAGGAAAATAGCTGCAATATACACAGGGATGAGAAAACACTGACTCTTGGACACAGTAAACTGGATCTGATCACAAGTTATAACAAATCAAAATCTAAGCAAATATCTAGTCAATTTGGGCCCTAACCCTCTCTTGTCCTAGGGTGTGTCTACACTGGCCCAGCTGCCTAGTGAAGTAGATAGTGAAGACGCTACCTACTCAGATGGGAGAGTGTCTCGTGGCGGCACAGGTACGCCACCTCTACGAGAGGTGACAGTGTGTCAACAGGAGAAGCCCTCCCATTGACATAGTGTTGTCTACACTGGGGGTTGGGTCAGTGTAACTACATCACTCAGGGGTGTGGATTTTCCATACCCCTGAGCGACTTTGTTACACTGATGTAAGTTTGTAGTGTAGACCAGGGCCTAGTTACATTCTCCAATCTCATTCCTAGAGTTACCATAATTTTTTTTGCAAAAAGAAAAGGAGGACTTGTGGCACCTTAGAGACTAACAAATTTATTTGAGCATAAGCTTTTGTGAGCTACAGCTCACTTCACTGAATGCATTCAGTGGAAAATACAGTGGGGAGATTTATATACATAGAGAACGTGAAACAATGGGTGTTACCATATACACTGTAACAAGAGTGATCACTTAAGGTGAGCTATTACCAGCAGGAGAGTGGGGGGAATAAACATGGGGAAATAGTTTTTCTGATACAACATAAAACTGTCAGTTTGAAAACAAACACAAAACACAGAGTAACATGATGAAATAGTCCAGGCTTCTACATTCCTTTAGTCTGTATTAAAAAAGACTATTTTACTACAAGCTTTATTTTAAAAATAATCATTTGACATAGAATCTCAAAGTTGGAAGGGACCTCAGGAGGTCATCTAGTCCAACCCCCTGCTCAAAGCAGGACCAATCCCCAATTTTTGCTCCAGATCCCTAAATGGCCCCCTCAAGGATTGAGCTCACAACCCTGAGTTTAGCAGGCCAATGCTCAAATCACTGAGCTATCCCTCCCCACTTACATCATCCTCTATAGTTCTTTGATTGGTTCTTGGTGATTTAACTAGGGTTCTGTTTAAATTAAGAGTAGTATTTAAAGATTTTCTTTTCCTATATCAATTTTGTTGACCGCTGACCTGATGTTATGACTTAAGGCTACGATTTTATCACGGAAGTCACGGACTCCATGATTTCCAGAGACCCCTGTGACTTCAGCCCTGCAGGCGGTACGGGGACCCCCCACAGCTGAGCTCCCCATTTTGTCACAGATATATTTAGTAAAAGTCATGCACAGGTCACGGCTTCTGTGAATTTTTCTTTATTGCCCATGACCTGTCTGTGCCTTTTACTAAAAATACCTGTGCCAAAATCTTAGCCTTACTTATGACCTATGATCCTATCTCATGTCTCCTGGGTGATTTTATGCTTGCTAGAGGTAAAATGATGTAATAGGAGTATAAAATTGTATGTATGTGGGTGTATGGCTTGTTAGCATGGAACATGCATGGGGGCAAATAGGTGAACGTAAGTATATGGCTTATTAAGCTTGTTAAAATTTAAGGGTCTATCATATTAGGTTAAGGCTTTGTGAAAGTAATTATTTTAAAGACTGAACTGCAGCTGAAATGAGAGAGACCTAAGAAGATAATCCCAGATCAAATATTTTTTACTTTCATTCTGAAACAAAATCAAATAACCCCAAACAGGTCCAGTACTCCACAGGAAGGGTGTTTGGGGGACTTTAGCAATGAGGTTGCTATGCAGTATCTAAGCAGTTAGACTGCTTGTACATATAGGAATTATTAAGAAATAAATGATATAAGAGAGGAATATCAATGCTTGATGATTAATTAAGGACACCCCAAAGGCCACGTATGGTTAGGGACAGCTATTCACCTTATTATAATCACGATAAAGCATGAAATGGTATATATCTGTACTATCACCATAAGGAAGGGTATAAAATATCACACCCAGTTCCCATTTCTTGGGGTGCGTCAGGTCCCCAAGACTGTGTAAACTGAATCAGGATCCCCTTTCTGATGGGCTCCACTTATGTCCCGTTCCATCTTTGTTTCCAATGGTCTCCGTACGTTGTAAATATACACAATGTAAGACTGTATGTAGGAGTGATGCAGGAAACCACTTTACTGTACTTCCCTTATTCTAATCTTAGTGCATATTGATCCTTTCCTATAATTTCAATTATAGTTGTCTGTATTAAATAAAGTTTGTGTGTTTCACCAAATTCCATCTTCTTAAGTAACTTTAAGTAGCCACCTAGGAAAAGTACCTGTTATCTATAACAAGAGCATGTTGCACCCCAATACATAATCTTATAAGTGTGATAACTGTTCAGGGTACCACTTGCTGACAACAATGTTAAGAGAGATGGTGCAAACTACATTAAAAAAGTAAAGAAAACTTACAACTAAAAATATCAGTGTCCAGTCATGGGATTGTGCATGCATGTATGTGTCTGGGGTGAGGATGTAGAAGAATAAATGTGAGAGCATGCATGTTGCTGAGCAAGGCATTGCCATTCCTGGAACAAAGACTGTCGGCGAGAACTCCGTCCTCCGGCACGGTGGAGCTCTCCGCACTAAGCAGAAAGCTTGTCTGGGAGGCAGCCAGAACTCCCTCTGGGGCTGGTCCCAGCCTCTGGGCTGGGCTCCTGCAGGAACTAAAGACCATCACAAACCTCGCTACCTTCCACCCCATTTGCAAAGTGCATTTCTTTGGCTTTGCTTCTCTACTATAAACACATCGCTGCACCCAGGCAGGCGCGAGGACAGGGACACCTGCGGCCCGGCGCGGCCCGGCCACGCCACGCGCCCACAGGGGGCCGGGCCGGGGCAGCCCCAGGGAACGGCGCGGAACGGGGGCCCCGGCAGCCCGAAGTGAAGGGCGGTCGCCGGCCAGGAACAGACCCGGGCTAAGCGCTGCGCGGGGCCGCGCCGGGCCGGGGCGACAGGGGCCCAGCTCCGGCGGCCTCGCCTGCAGCAGCGGCCGGGGCCGGGGCCTCCCTCCCCAGCGCGGGGCGGCGCCTCCCGAGGCCCGCCCCCGCCCCGCCCCGCCCCGGGACGGCAGAGCCGCTCCACCCGCGCGAGTCTCCGCGCTCCGGCCATGGCGGTCCGCGCCAGCTTCGAGAACAACCACGAGATCGGCTGCTTCGCCAAGCTCACCAACCGCTACTGCCTGGTGGCCGTCGGCGGCTCGGAGAACTTCTACAGGTCAGAGCGCCCGGCCGGCCGCGGCCCCGGGACCCGGCCTCCCTTCCCCCCCGCCTCCGGGCCTGGCCTCCCTCCCCCCCCCGCCTCGGCCCCGGGACCCGGCCTCCCTTCCCCCGCCTCCGGGCCCGGCCTCCCTTCCCCCGCCTCCGCCTCCGGGCCTGGCTTCCCTCCCCCCCCCGCCTCGGCCTCCGCCCCGGGGCCCGGCCTCCCTTCCCCCCCCCGCCTCGGCCCCGGGATCCGGCCTCCCTTCCCCCGCCTCCGCCTCGGCCTCGGCCCCGGCCCCGGGACCCGGCCTCCCTTCCCCCGCCTCCGGGCCTGGCCTCCCCCCCCCCCCCGCCCTCGGCCCCGGGACCCGGCCTCCCTTCCCCCGCCTCCGGGCCTGGCCTCCCTTCCCCCGCCTCCGGGCCTGGCTTCCCTCCCCCCCCGCCTCGGCCTCCGCCCCCCGGGGCCCGGCCTCCCTTCCCCCCTGCCCCCGCCTCGGCCCCGGGACCCGGCCTCCCCTTCCCCCCGCCTCCCCGGGGCCTGGCCTCCCTCCCCCCCGCCCCTCGGCCCCGGGACCCGGCCTCCCTTCCCCCGCCTCCCCCGGGCCCGGCCTCCCTTCCCCCGCCTCCGGGTCTGGCTTCCCTCCCCCCCCGCCTCGGCCTCCGCCCCGGGGCCCGGCCTCCCTTCCCCCCCCCGCCTCGGCCCCGGGACCCGGCCTCCCTTCCTCCGCCTCCGGGCCTGGCTTCCCTCCCCCCCGCCTCGGCCTCCGCCCTCCGGGCCCGGCCTCCCCCCCGCCTTCCCCCCCCCGCCTCGGCCCCCGGGACCTGGCCTCCCCTTCCCCCGCCTCCGCCTCCCGGGCCTGGCTTCCCTCCCCCCCCCGCCTCGGCCTCCGCCCCGGGGCCCGGCCTCCCTTCCCCCCCTGTCCCTGCCTCCGCCTCGCCCCCGGGGCCCGGCCCCCCTTTTCCCCCCGCCTCCGCCCAGGGCCGCCGCCGCCTCGCCTCCACTCTGGGGGCTCGGCCTCCTTGCTCCCCACCCCTCTCCTCGGCCCTGGGGCTCGGACTCCCCAGCCCTGGGGCTTGGCCCTTCCACCTTCCTAGGGCCCGATACCCCCGCCCCCCTCGCAGTCTCGATCCTCCTGGAAGAAGAGGCTGGTGGTTTCTAATCCGGGGAGGGGTGTAAAGAGCTGGGCTACAGACAGTCTCCTTACACAGTTCTGGCCTCCCATAGTCCGGTTGCATCTGCTTAGAAAGGGGACTAGAAATGACTGTGTTAGGCCAGGACAGGGTGCACCATTAACTCATAGCCGTGGCTCTCAACCTTTCCAGGCTACTGTGCCCCTTTCAGGGGGCGGATTTGTCTTGCACACCCCAAATTTCACCTCACCTAAAAACGACCTACTTACAAAATCTGACATAGGAATACGAAAGTGTCGCAGCGCACTGTTACTGAAAAATTGCTGACTTTCTCGTTTTTACCATATAATTGTAAAATCAATTGGAATATAAATATTGTACTTACATTTCTGCATATAGAGCAGTATAAACAAGTCATTGTCTGTATGAAATTTTAGTTTGTACTGACTTTGCTAGTGCTTTTTATGTAGCCAGTTGTAAAATATCTAGAGGAGTTGATGTACCCCTGGAAGACCCCTGTGTACCCCTAGGGGTATGTGAACCCCTGGTTGAGAACCACTGGCTTATGTAACAGCATCGTATTTCCAATATTCTCCATTCCTTATGTTTCCCAGCTTCTTGTTTGCTTTCTGACCACTGGTGGTGTTGAGCAGAGGTTTCAGTTGAGCTGCCCACCTGGATACCCAGAGCTTTTTCTTGGCTTGTTGCATTTAACTTACCAGTAAGATGTATGAGTAGTTGAGCCTGGTCCCTCCAGCCTGTGTTATCTTGCATTTGTCAATACTGAATTTCAGTTGCCATCATGTTGCCCATTCACCCAGCTTGATTATGTCCCTCTGAAAGTCCTCACTGTCCTCGTCGGTCTTGATTGACTTAGGGCATGTCTGCATGTACAGCACGGCAGCAGTACAGCTGTGCCCCTGCAGCGCATCTGGTGAAGATACTCTGTGCGGATGGGAGAGAGCTCTCCTGTCAGCATAATAAAACCACCTCCATGAGCGGCAGAACCTCTCCTACATACATAGTGCTGTGCACACATGTGCTTATGGCAGTGTAACTTATGTTGCTGACAAAACTGTGTAGTGTAGACAAGGCCGTAACCTCAAATAATGGTGTCACATGGAGTTTTAGCTACCTCACTGTTCTTCCCTTTATCCAGATCATTGATAAATAAATTAAACAGCAGGTGTCCTAGTACAGGCCCTAGAGGTGTCATTCTTTGTTTTCTAAGCCTGGACTGTACTTCACCTCTCACTCCACAAGTACTTTAGTTTCCTTATTAGCTTCCTGTGAGGGTCTTTGTCAAAGGCTGTTTCGAATTTATGTGGACTTCAATCAGCCTGTTCTTTATTCACTGTGTTGCTGGCATATTCAAAGAATTCTAGTCATCATTTTAACAGGAAATTAATTCATTTTAGTTGGGAAGACTGTGTGGGGCTCAGGAAGTCTGAGTTTTATTCCTGACTCTGCCATTAACCTGCTGTGAAGATTTGGGCAAGTCAGTGAACTTCTCTGCCCCTCAGTCTCCCCATTTGTAAAGTGGAGATACTCATTTTTATAAAACGGGTCAGGAACATCAGATCTCCTTCTCAGGTGTATTGATTTGATTTCCCTTGGGGTCTGAGTCCCTCTGGATTGAATGGGATTCTCTGTATGTGTCACTCTTTGCTTTGCAGCATCATTTCACTGTCTGTCTTATTGCAGTATCTTTGAGGGGGAGCTTTCTGAGACCATCCCTGTTGTTCACGCTTCCATAGCTGGATGCCGGATCATTGGGAGAATGTGTGTTGGTAAGTCACGTCCTTCAAGCTGATACCTTGTGGTGTGCTCTTAATGGGGATTGGGCCGGAACATGTCATTTAACAAGATTCTAGACTCTCATTCTGCAGTATAAGGAAGACTCTGGGTCAAGACGTTCTGGATCTGGATCTGCCTAGGAGCCACCCGTTCCCATATTGAACAGGGATTAGAGTTTGAGGTTCCAGCTGTGACAAATAGGGGATAGTAGGAGGGTTGCAGATATAGCCCCATGGACCCGAAGGGACTTCTTTTCTGACCTCTGGCCAGCAGAGGTTGTTGAGCGGAGCCAGGCCTGAGGGTGGGACAAAGGGGTGGAACTGGGAAGACTTCTTTCCAAAATCAAAAATGTATCAATTTGAGAGTAAAGAAAAGCCTGTGTGTGGAGGGAGGGACGGGGGGTAGAGCCTATGCCACATAGGGTTTGGCTTCTGTTGTGGGGGGAATCACATAACCACTCCTCTGCAGCACTGGGGTCGGTGTTTCACATGCTTCTACTTGTGGGGGATGGGGAGTTGCTTGTCATGTGTAAGTTTCTCTTACTGATAAATCTGTAGGGAATACCCTGTTTTGATAGGCATTAATGGTTCAGCATCTAGCCATTACAAATACACATCGCAAAAGCAGTATTCCTCCTTTCACTTGCATGTAGCCAGGGACACAGCAGGACGCAGCTCTTGTTTTTACAATCCATTCCGGTGAGAGGAAAGAGAATGTTTATCCTTTATCAGTTTGTCTGGAGAAGCGTTTGACAGATCTTGATTATTACTGCGTGCCACATTAGAGTAATGAAATGAGCATAGTTGGGAACACCAGTTAGATTCTGCAGATGCTAGACTGCTAATAAGGGATTTAATTTCTGATTAAAGGGGAAAAAATTGAGGTTTCTGCCCTTTTCAGTTTGCTTGGTAGGGTTTTTGTAAGGAATCTCCTCCCCTCCCCCGCTTGTGTTTTATGTTAGAAATTTGGGTGTCCCGTTTGCTCTCTGAGACTGCAGTCACTGAGGGACTTGTGAAATCCTGAATTAACAGGCCAAGAAGGGAAAGTGAATTTTAATCAGACTGTTTTAAAACTGTTTTTAATAACACCTAGTTAACCTTTTGAGGAAAGGACACCTTTGTTAAAGGTTCTATCTACACACTCTGCATAATTAACGAGGCCTGAGACCCAGAAGCCCCTCAAGTAAAACCAGGATAGACCATCTAGACATTCCTGATGCCTAAGGCTGTTTTTAAAATTTTTTTTAAAGGCAAAAGACTATCTTAAGAAAACAAACCAACACCTCAAATCATTCCTCTTAGGGACTTTCTCCCTCATAAAGAAGCAACAACCACCAAGGGTACATCTGCACAATGATGATAAACCCACAGCTGGCCTGGGTCAGCTCACTTGGATTCAGGGTCTGGTGGTCGCAAGGACCTTCCTAAAGGCCGCCTTGGACTCGGCAGATTTGGCCACTCGCACGATGGCTACCGCCATAGCCATGAGACGCAGCTCCTGGCTTCAGGTCTCGGGGCTCCCGCCTGAGGTCCAGAATACTATCTGGGACCTACCCTTTGACTGTTCTGGACTCTCTTCAGAGCAGACAGACTTTAGGTTCCATAGTCTAAAGGACTCACGGGCAACCCTTGAATCCCTGGGGATTCACGTGCTGGCCCCCCAAAGGAAGCTGTTCAAAGTTCGGCCCACCCCATGCTTCTACTCTGCTCCTCCCAGGACTATAATAGGAAACAGGGCAGGAGTAACAGGAGGCGCCCATCTCTGTCCTCCTCAGGCCTCAAAACCGAACTTTTGAAGTTGCACCTGAGGCCTCGTGAATTATGCAGAGCGTGTAGATAGAACCTTTAACAAAGGTG